CTGGGGATTGAACCTGGGACCTTCTGCATGCCAAACAGATGCTCTATATGTTGTCAAAGGCTTTCACGGCTGGAGTTCCTTAGTTGTTGTAGATTTTCCGGGCTGTATGGCCATGGTCTTGGCATTGTAGTACCTGACGTTTTGCCAGCAGCTGTGACTGACATCCTCAGAGGTATAACACAGAAAGATGGAGAATCTGTGTCAACGTGAGAGGGAAAATGGTAGGCAGGTAATTTCTATCTACTCAGGAAGGTGGGGTAGGACAGAGTCATTATCTTGTAGGAGTTTCCCAGGCTGTGACATGCTAATTGAGGAGGTTTCCTGAGGAAGTTCTTTAGCATATAGATTGGCTGTTGAAATTCTAATCTTATCTGTAGTGCTGTAGTCAGATATAGGCTCCGTGCAGCTGCGCAATCAAACGTCCCGTCGAGGTCCCATGGTTAGGGGGGAGGTGCCAATCACATGACGATCCTGCAGTGCGGCAAAAAGCAGTGCGGCACGATCACACCAGCAATGGGTGGGCGCCGCTGCCATGGCAAACGGGGTCGGTTTTTTTTAAGCCAAAGTTTTTGCATGCCCCGTTGGGTGCTTGTGCGCATCCTGTGGAGACTTGGGGGGGAAAAACCTGTTTGCGAGGGGACATGGGTGGGCGCCGGATGCCACGGACTACCACTGGAAACGTGATCAGATGCCAGCCCTTGTCCCGCGTTTTCCAGAAACTAGTACCTCGGAGGTACTAGTTTTTTACCCCGCATCTTCGCCGGGAAGCCTCGGGTTCGCCACGGGAACTCTACGCTTCCCAGATGTTGCGGTATGATCACGCCCGGAAAACCCGCCTATCATCCGTCTCTGTAGCGTGGCTAATGCTCCGTGTGACCGCAGCCTTAGAGCATTTTGAGTTTTGCAGGACTGGAAACCATGCCCTATTTATTTATAAACTCTCTTCCTGTTGAAATTGTGTTTATGTTTATGAATTTATGAATTTCAATGGCTTCCCTGTGTAATCTGACATGGTAACTGGATGTGTTGTCCAGCCTTTCAGTGTCTTGGAATAAGATACTGTGTCCTGTTTGAGTTAGGCTATGTTCAGCCACTGCTGATTTTTCAGGTTGGCCAAGTCTGCAAAATTCTTGCAAAAGAACCTTCTCAGGAAAGCTCCTCCATTAGCACTGGGTAATAAAGAGCAAACTGAGATTTCAACACCTGAGAGAAGAAGACCATCTTTGGAGGCAATTTAAAATGGACCCACAAGCAGGCTGGGCAGGCATCTGTGGCTGAGGCTGTTATACACCAGTGTGGCCCAGCTCCTCCAGAACCACAAGATCTAACTTCTTGAAAATGAGTGAGTCAAACCAAGGCCTCTCTCCTGTAGTTCTCAAGCTTCGTGGATGGAACTGAAGGCATCAGAACTAGCTCCTCAGCCCCCTGTGTCCACCCCACAGAATGTAAGCCACTGCAATCGGCCACAGGAGCAGAGACAGGTGACATCCCCCATGAGGCTTTGCCTGAGCAATCATGCCCCATGATTTGAGGAAATGAGCCTTTACCACAATACACCAGGAGAGGGAGCCACCATTTAGTGTTACCAACTGACTAGGAAAAAAATCTGGCCTGGTGTAGTGGATTAAGTGTAAGAGTAGGATGCTGGAAGACCAAGGGTTGAACCTCCACTTCGTCTTCTGCTATGGAAGCTCACTGGGTGACTTTGGGCCCATCACAAACTCTCAGCCTGGCCTACCTCACAGGGTTTTTGAGAAAATGGAGGGGGGAGAATGATGTTCTAAGCTGCTTTGAGTCCCAACTGGGGATAAAAGTGGGATATAAATAAAATAAATGCAAACACATGCCTTCTCTTGTGCTTATGTGCCCGCAGCAGTCAGCATCTGAATCTTTGTATAACCAGGAGTCACCCATGAGAATCATGTGTGTTCGTGTGTGTTCAAATGTCAGCAGTTTCTGTGAGACACAGGGTTTGTTTTTTTAAGATCACTTGGACTGGTTTTCAATGCCAAGGCTTGAGCTTACCTCTGGGCATGTGCAGAGAGCCGCCTTATCACCACAGAACTACCACAATCAGCTGCAGCCCCATAGAAGTGGAAGGATCTCTCCCTCTTGTGCAGGCTGGAATGGCTGAACCTTTCTACATGATAACTGTGTGCTGGGCCACCTCTTAAGATAGTTCACATGGATGCTCCTTCCCTGGAGGGAATATTTGTGTGTCTGCACATTGGTAGAAAAAGAAGCATGAAGGCTCTAGATCCGTGTTTCACAGGAGAGGGTTCATCTCTGAAGGCTGGAGAATAGGAGCATAACCTTTTTTACTCGCTCCATGCCTGTCCCTTTCTCTTACCAGGAGAAAGGCAGTCTTAAACATGTACATCCATGTTGGCAGAATGCCTTTTGATAATCCATTGCAGATACAGTTGAGAAGAGGAAGGGGAAGGTTGCCCTTATTTCAGATCCTTACAGGCTCCCAGAAGGGGTCTTGTTTTCACATCAGCCAGGACAGCCAACCACTCCAGAGTGTTAGTTGGGTTGAAATATTTCCATTTTACTGACGTTTGATTGTCAGTTTGAAGCAGGGAGGGTTAGAAGGGAACTAGGGCCAAAGGCCTAGGACAGATAGATCTCACTCCAGATGATCTCACCAGGATGATCTCCTTATTTGATCCCTGTCTGTCCAGTCCAGAATGTCTGCTCCACCTTAAATGCAATGCAGCTGTGCTGCAGCAACAAATAAGTTTAAAAATGACTTGGCCAGATGCCCCAAAGCCCAGCTGGAGGTACGTGACCAATGAGAGCTCTACTACGTGGGGCTTCTTATGGGAGCTGTAGCACTTCAGCAGGCCTCTGTGGATCATGCTCGCCTGCTGAGCATGGGATTTCAATTACCCTTCCCCTGTCTGTGGGGAGTAGAAAGCAACCTTTCCCACCCTCTGATCCATTGTACAAACTAGCCTAGCCAGAGTTTTTTTACTCAGATAATTGCATGGGATTCCCCCCCCCACAGTTTGCATCCCAAACTGGGGGCTGTGTTCAGGAATCTCTCCTACCTTTCCACACTTCCAGATGGGTTAGTCTGTGGCAGCAAAATAAAAAAGGCGTCAGTCCTGTGGCACCACAGAGGCTAACAGAATTTATTCCAAGGATAATGTTAGAAGCAATTCTTTTAGCCTCTAAGGGTGGGTTCCCCAATGTGGTGCGTAGTGGTACCCATTAGGACTTTGCTTTTCAGAAGCTTTTCAGAAAGTGAGCGGGACCATTGTAAGACAGGGCTTGTTACTGGCTGCCCTCATTCAAATGCAAGGGTTTTCTACTGGAGGATCAGGAGGATTGTTAAGCACCTGGGTTTCTCTTCAGTGTGTGGCTCCGTTCCCTTCTTCAGGCTTTTCTTCTTCCTACGAGGTGTGAAGAGGGAGGCATTCCATTTGGCTCCACCTCCTGCAGAATCTGTTTGGTGCTTGACTTCAGCATCTGTGGAATCTGTTTTTGGGGTGGCACTCACCACCCCCTCTCAACATTTCAAATGTGGCTGCAGGCTCTAAAATGTTGGTGACCCCTGCTCTAAGGTGCTACTGGACTTCTGGTTTGTTTTACATTCCTGCAAGAATCATTTTGCTAGATGTATGCCAAGGTCTGTCTAGTCCACTGATCCCCAATGTGGCGCCTGTGGGCACTAATGTAGCCAAGAGAGCTTCTCCTGGTGCCTACCCATGTGTTTGAGGAAGGTGGATGGGGCCTTTTCCTAGCAGCCCCCTCCTGGAAAAACTCCCAACTCATCCAGCTCCAAATTGCCTGGGCAGCAAGGCCAGGCTGCTGTCACCTAGCCGATGGTGGTGCCCACAACCCTTTCTCAAAAGTCACCTAAGCTAAGGACTTCACATGTGGAAACCTATTGTGCAAACTGGCAAAGCAACCCACAGCCAGTGTTCCCTCTAAGCTGAGTTAGTGTGAGCTAGCTCACAGTTTTTTAGCCTCCGGCTCACACATTTTTGTCTTAGCTCAGGAAGGAGGGCCCCAGAGCCAACTAGTTTATGCAGTAGCCAAATCGCTCGCTCACAACTTTAATGCCAGTCGCTCACAAAGTAACATTTTTGCTCACAAGACTCAACAGCTTAGAGGGAACATCGCCCACAGCCATGGTGGAGACACAGGGAATGTAGTACGCAAGTGAAATATGGACATGAATTGATTATGCAACAGGGCTTATGCAACAGGACATGAATTGATTATGCAACAGGGAAGTCTTTCAAGACACTTGGCACAGGCACTTTACCTTCTCTTTGTAATGATAGAAAGGATGTTAACACTACCTATGAAATACTTATGACTATTTACACTAAATGTATTAATCATATCACTGTTGTATGTAGTTTGATTGTTTCATTTCTAAAACTATGGCAGCACTTTCCCCAGCCAACATGATAATGGGAAATGCTGCTGGTTCACACATTACATATGATCAAGATGGATATGTAATTCAAAGAGCGTTAGATGTACGTGAAGAGCATTAAGCTACATTGAAATCCCTAAGTTGCTGTTCTCTAACGAGTCAGCAAGTGGTGCTGGGGCTTTCCTTTCCTGTATTATAATCCATACAGGTAAAGGAAGGGATTTATTTGATATAAAAGTGCCCCTAAACCACTGAAGTGACTTTTCAACCCTGCCTCCATTTCATACATGGGTGGAGGGTCAATGTCCTTTCTCCACTGATACCAGAGTT